AGGTCGAGGCTGCAGTGGCCGGGAGTGTGCCACTGCACTCCAGTCTGGGCGACAGAGTGAGACTCCAACTCAAAAAAAAAAATTTCTATATCACAGATTTTAAAATATTTTGCTATTTTTAAATGCAATTTGTTTCCTATATAATCCTAGTTTGTCTTATGTATTTAAAACTATATATATATATATATTTCTTTTTTTTTTTAGTCAGTCTCTCTCTTGCCCAGGCTGGAGTACAGTGTCAAGTACATGGCTACCACAGCCTCAACCTGCTGAACTCAGGGGATCCTTCTGCCTCAGCCTTCCAAGTATCTGAGACTACAGGTGCGCACCACCATGCCCAGATAACTTTTTGATTTATTGTAGAGACGAGGTCTCGCCAAGTTGCCCAGGCTGGTCTCAAACCCCTGGGCTCAAGTAATCCTCTTGCCTCCACCTCCGAAAGTACTAGGGTCACCGGGCATGGCTAAAACAATATTTTGAGAAGTATAGGGGCTTCACCAGACTGCTAAAGAAGTCTGTGACACAAAAAAAGCCAGCGTGGTTTCTAGCAGTTTCTTCCAGCTCCGGCTCACAGAGGGTAGAAGCCCTGTCTCTTCCTGCCCTCTCCTATGACGCAGACAGCCCTCGTGAGAGACTCCCCATTCCAAAACCTGGTCCAGGCATCAGGAAGGGTCAGACTGAATGGGTTAAAAGTGGTGTGTCTTGCCAAGGACAAAGGCAGTATGGCACAGCCAACGCTAAGTGAGTGAGAGGGACCTGTCCTAGAACTTTCTGGGGATACATGCTTGTCCTCACCTGAGGAATGAGGTCAGAAGCTGACCGTGAGTGTAGGTCTGCTCTAGGCTTAGGCCATGAGACCCAGTCCTTTCTTATGGCTGAGTCCTCTTACCCTGTGTGGCCCCAGACTCGGGGCCAAAACCACACCTCATTCCAGGTCCCACCTAGATCACCTTAAAACTCTGAACAGGCTGCTGAATTTCCCAAGTTCTCTGAGGGCAGGGGCTTCTTGTACACCTAACTGCCTCACAAGCTTCACAGAATTCTGAAGCCAGTTGGTACCCAGGAAAGATGCTGTGGTACTCTAAGGCAGTTTAGGATGATGCCAGGGCCTGAGCCGAGGACTCCTGAGTCCTCAGTCTGGCTCTGTCACTCACTGAACAAGGGGCCTTGGGCAAGCATGTCCTCTCTCTGCGCCTCAGTTTCCCGGCATGATCTGGAAGAGTCCTCTCAGCTCGGCCATTCAACCTTTCTGATCTCCTGCTTCTCCGGGGAGTCAGGATGGGACAGCCCCATCCTCCTGTCCCCACCTCGCTCCCACAGCCTCCTTACTTCTTGGTTCCATAGATCCAGGCCACAGCGATGTTCTCGAGGATGACGATGACGGTGAGCGGCAGGGTGGCAGAGTAGTCATCAAACATGGTGACAAAGTAGTTTCCGGAGCGCTGGACGAACAACAGCCCCACGAAGAATGCAAAGACACAGCAGCCCACTACAGAGAGCCGGGAGGCCGGTGTGGGGGCAAAGGTGCAGGGTGGGCGGGGCCCTGGGGGTCTCGTCTACCCCTCCCCACGCAGGCCTGCAGCCCCGCCCCCAGCAAGCCCAGCCCTGCCTGAGGGATCTGGATGCGGAGGCTCTGAGCCCCCACTTCGCTGGGAGAGGCATCTTGAGAAAGGTGTTGCCTCACCCCCCCCACACCCCTGCCCCAGCACAGTGCCTGGCGCACAGCAGGTGCCCTACTCAAGTGCTCCGTTTAACTTCAAGATTCATCTGATTGCTCCCAGAGCATTTTCCGTTGCCTCAGTTTCCCTGTTTGAGAACAGGAAGGTACCCTGGGGATGCCGGTGAGAGGTAGCTCTGTGTGGAGCCCAGATCAACTCAGCAGGGACAGAAGGGAACTGTGGACACAGCCTGGGGCTGGGAGCGACCAAGAGGGAACAGGGCACCAGGCCAGGGATCAGGAGGGAGCAGGCCCTGGGGGAGAGGGCTCCCCTCCCACTCAGGTTTAGCCCAGATTTCCAGACGGCTGTCCCTCCTGCCTGGGGGGTGGCACGGCCAGGCTCCAGCAGGACTCTGGTGGGGGAGTGAGGGAGCAGCCGTCTGGGTACGGGGTCACGAATGACCCAGTGGGAACCCAATCTTTCTACGGTCAGAGCCGAACCGACCGCCATCCGCGAGGGCAGCTGCGGGGCTGGGTAGGGCTTCAGGGAGGCATTACCTGTGAACATCTCCTTGGGCACCTTGAAGGTGTCGATGATGGGCGTGGTGATGCCCGCCATGGTCCCAATCATGCTGCCCAGGCCCAGGTTGATGAGCATCAGGAAGAACATGACGGACCAGAACGGGGACGCAGGGAAGTGAGTCATGGCCTCGGTGAACGCGATGAAGGCCAGGCCTGTGCCCTGTACGGACTGTGGGGTGGGTGGAGAGCAGGCCCTGTGAGGCCGCAAGCCCCCTGCTTTCTCACCTCTGCCCTTGCGGCTTTCGGGCCAAGGATTTCCTCCTTCATGGGGATCCCCCCCCTCCACCCAAAGCCTGTCGGTTTAGGCCAGTGGGCCTCACACTTCAGTAGGCATCAGAATCCCCCAGGGTGAGCATAAAGACATCAACTCCTCGGGAGTCCGCCTGTGGGATCTGGAACTTGCAGGCTGTGCAAGGACCCCAGGTGATTCAGATGAAGAAGCTCCTGTCTGGAAACATGCCCAGCTCAAGACCCTCCTCCTCTAAGAAGCCTTCTCTGATTGTTCTAGCCATACTGTGGCTGCTCTCAGCTCTGAACTTTTGGGCTCCAGATCTTTTTTTTTAGTTAGAGTCTCACTCTGTCACCCAGGCTGGTGTGCACTGGCATGATCATGGCTCACCACAGCCTCGACCTCCTGGGCTCGGGCAATCTTTCCACCTCAGCCTCCCAAGTAGCTGGGATTATAGGTGCAGGCCACCACCCCCGGCTAATTTTTTAATTTTTGTAGCGGTGAGGTCGCCCTATGTTGCACAGGCTGATCTCGGGCTCTGGGCTCAAGTAATCCTCTCACCTTGGCCTTCCAAAGTGCTGGGATTACAGGTATGAGCCATCATGCCCAGCTTGAACTCCAGATCTTAGTGCAGTGGTCTCAGCCTCGGCTGGCCAGTGGAAGCACACTGGAGCCTTTAAATCACTGACACCTGGGTCTCACCCAGGGACAATGGCTGGATTGGATGGAGATGAAGGTGCATGGTGGAGTTTTATGAAGCACCCCCTGGTCACTCTAACAGGTAGCCAAGCTATGTCCTGTGACTGAGGGAACACTTGCTCCCAGCTGAGTGAGGGTGTAATCCTTGTCATTTGGAGGCCTTTGGGGTCCTTCTATATGAAGACACTAGTTTTATTCAGAGGACCAGGCTGTACCCATAAGAATGGCACTATAGGGCAGGGTTTTAGGAAACATAGAAGAGGGGAGTCCTCTGTGCTACCAGTCACCTGGGGAAGAAACCAGGGCAGGAGCCCCCAGACCGGGCTCTTTTGCTGTTGGTCACCTGGGAAGGGGTTGGGGGTGCAGGATGCAGCCCCCTTGGCATCAGGACACCCCCCCTCACCTCCCATGGAGCTGACCTTTAATGGAGAGCTCAGGCATCAGCCTGGAGAAAGTGTCCCCTTCCCTGGACCCATGACAGACAGGGTTGGAGGCCAACAGGAATTGGCTCAGCCCCATGTGAGCCCTGACTAGCTGGATTCCCAGGTTCCTGGGGATGTGTCTCTTTCCCATCATGTCTTTTAACAGAATAGTCACTTTGAAAGTGCCCAGCTATGCAAATATGAAAAGAGGCATGGTATCTTGGACCTGAGCATTAAGGAAGCAGCACTCCCTCCCCTGCCCCAGGGGCCAAGGGTCATCGTGGCGTGGGAGCTGGAGCGGGGACAGCTGGAGGAGGACACAGAAGCATCAAAGGGTGGTTCAGAGCGTGAACTCTGGGCCTGACGACCTGAGCCCTGGCTCCCTCACTTGCTAGCTGCGAGACCTTGAACAAGCACCTTACAGGTGACTCATCTGTAAAATGGGGGACTCACAGAGTTGTCATGAAGGTTAAAGGAGACAGGTATCCAAGGACAGACACCGATTTCAATACTTCCTCCAAGCACAAGGCATACGTTGCCTATGGCAGTACGTGAGAAGCCCACCCAGTAACCGGGAGAGTGTGTCCGTCTTGTCTCCTCATTCAGAATCAAGCCTACCTTCACACAGGGGCTTTGACTGATACCTACCTTCCCTCTCGCTCCCTCTGGACACACAGTAGGCCCTCGCCTACCGAGTAAGTGAATGACCGCCTATCGACTTTCTAAGTCCTGTGCCCAAGCCCCAGCTGCCCACGGCCGCTCTCTGGGTTCCTGCATGTCCCCACACCTTGTCCAGCTCGTCCTCCAGCAGGCAGGGGTTGAGGCCCAGGGCTGAGAACCGGTCCTCCTTCACGGTCATGATGACATTGTACATCTCCATGTAGTCCTTTGTCGTCAGGTGGGAGAAGTTAACGTGCGGTGGGATGAGGTCGCGGCTCAGGACGTTGGTATTGAGGTACCCCAGGATTTTCTCGGCATTCCTGTGGCACAAAGGGGAGAGGCCAGGTAAGAAGACAGGGAGGCGGGTGGACAAGGTCCTGGAGGCTCCACCCAGACGTCCAGGCAGGACCCCGTGGACCACGGACAGAGACATCTCTGAGCTCGTCCTTGTGGCCCAGGGCTGGGGACAGAGGGCCCGAGTGGAGGGGACCTCTCTCCACGCACGCCCCACTTGCCCACTCCCGGGGAAGGCAGACAAGGAGAAGGAGGGACGGGAGGAGAGGTGCCACCTACTCGACCACACACTTCTCATTCATGATGTTGGCCTTGAAGCCCAGCACAGCAAACACCACGAGGGTGGCCAGCACCGAGGTGAAGAAGTTGATGAAGGAGACCAGGGCAGCGTCGAAGTGGCAGTTGTTGTCCTGCTTGTTGTAGCTAGAGAAGGCGATGACACCACCAAAGCCCAGTCCCAGGGCGAAGAAGACCTGGGTGGCTGCTTCACGCCACACCTGGGGGTCCAGCATCTTGTCCAGCTACAGGGAAGGACCGAGGCAGAAAGAAAGAAAGAGGCACGGAGAGGATGGCTTCACTCACGTGCAATGGGCTTCCCTCCACACTCCCTGTCTTAGCTTCGATGGAACTAAGTGGTAAGAAGCTGTGGGTGTGTGACCTCGGGTAACGTCTCAATCTCCTCCAAGCCCCATCTCCCCATGTGTAAAACACAGACAACAAGAGTGTCAGCTTCAGAGGATTGTTGGGAGGCCCAGGTAAGATAAAATAGATGCCAAATGTGTACGTAGTAAGTTCTCAGTCTATGTGAACTCCTGCCATTGCTCACCATGGAGCTATCCTACCAAGGAACATGGTCAAGGCCATTGTGTACAGTTACATAGTGCACAGCTCCGGGGAGAGCTATTCATTTAGACTAGGATGTGAATGGGTGCCTTCTAGAGTGGTACAGCGAACAGTCTGCACGACAGTACAAGAGAACTGAAAACATCAGTGTTTCCCTGACACCTCCTCCATCTCAAATGGGTGTGGCATGGGGTATTAAAACCACCTTCTTCTCTCTCAAGTTTCCCGATCTCCCCTCGGTTCATCCATATACACCCACATGCTCCGGCTCACAGAAGAACCCCCTACCCAACTTGAAGCACAGAACTCAGATACTGCCTGCCCACTTGCCCTGACAGGAGTCAGAGCCACAGCAACATTTGGAAAATCTCAAAGCCCTTCTCACCCCTATTTTCCACTTACTGTTCGTTCCTCTTGGCAGGGACCAAGGCTTGAACCCAGCACAAAGTTTTAGTCTCAGACAGACCCAACTAAATTCTGATGCTAATCTTCAAGTAGCCATGAAGCCTTACACAAGTGGCAGTACCTGTTTTATGAACCTCAGTTTCCCCATCTGAAAAATGGCAATAATAACAGAGTCTCCCTCAGAGTGACTGAGAGGATCAAATGTATAGCAACAAGTAATGCCTGGTACATAGTCGGACTTCATCCTGACAAAATGATGCTAGCCTAGCCAGGTAAGGGTGTTTCGTGGGTTTTTTTTTTTTCAGGGGAGTGGGCAGGGGTCAGGGTGTAGGGGTTGGGGATTATTATTCACAATTTGAAAGGGTCAACTGACAACCCAAAGGTTAAATTACTTGCTCAAGATAAGACAGCAGGTTAATTGGGATAGAGGGGTTACTCAACCCAGATCTTCTGACGCTGGGCCGTGCTGCTCCCTAGCACCGCCTCCTGACTCAGTTTACCTGTCGCCCATACTTTTCAGAGCACTTTCGCCTGCGACCTTTGCAGCTGAGGTGGACCCAAGGGACCTCACTCTAGACAGTCGAGGGAGGCAAAGAGGGAGTTCGAGCATTCACTACCCCGCGGTCCAAGCCCTGTGTGGGTCCTGGCCTGGCTGTCCCTTCTGTGGCCTGTGGGTGTCTATTCCTCATCTGAACAATGAAGTATGGGACTTTAGTGTCTGTCCAGCTCAAATATTGCAGCCCTAACATTCGGGAGAGAGGGTCCACCTTCTGGCATTTCGGCAGCATTCTAGAAACACCTGAAGTCACTCCACCAGCTGAGAAGGAGGTGGTGAGCTCAGAGGCAGAGGGCTGACAGAGCCATAAGCCTGAGGGTGGCACCTCCATGCTGAGGGGAAAGAGGTAGGGGATAGCAGAAGAACTTTCAAGCTTTGGGGCCTGGGCACAAGTGGAGACCGAGGGGGACTGTCTGGTCAGGAGTGTGTGTACTACAGGGAAGGTCAAGGTCCCCTACCCTGCACAATATAAGTAAAGCCATCTTTAGTCCACCAAGAAAGCCCAGAACCCAGGCCTTTAAGGATCTAAGAACCTGCTGGGTTGAAGCGAGAGGATTGCCTGCATCCAGGGGTTCAAGACCAGCCTGGGCAACTTGGCGAGACCTCGTCTCTACAATCAATCAAGAAAAATTAGCCGGGCATGGTGGTGCATGCCTGTATAACTGAGCCCAGCAGGCTGAGGTTGCAGTGGCCATGAGCATGCCACTGCATTCCAGCCTGGATGACAGAGTGAGACTCCAATTTCAAAAAAAAAAAGAATCTAAGAACCCCTTGGCATCCACGAGAAGGAGACCCTCTCCCCAGCCCACCCCCGTGTTCTCAATAGGTGTCATGGCCTTCCTGAGGCTTTGACACGTTGCCACTCATTCATAAATTCATGGGCACCTGCGTGGGCCAGGCCCAGCACTGGGCAATGCAGAGAGACTACAGGGAGAAAAGGCAGGCAGGGCCTCAGGTCTTGTGGAGCTCACGTTCTGGTTGGAGAGATGGACACTGGCCAGATGATCCCACAGACAGATGCGACAAGGGCTGTGATGGCACTCAGCACTCCGAGAGCCCAAACAGGAGGATTTGAGCAAGTCAGGAGGCCAGGGGAGGCTTCCCAGAGGAAGGGGTACTCCAGCTGACATCTGAAAGCTGATGCAAGCCAGGCTGCGAGGGGAAAGAAAAGAGCATTCTGGCAGAGGGAACAGCTTGGGCAGAGGTCCCGAATGAAACAGAGGGTGGTGTGTAAAAAGGAATGGCAGAGGCCAGGGTGGCTGAAGCAGTGAGGACGAGGCAGGGGTGGTACAGGGGAGGCTGGGAGAGGTCAAGGAGTCAAATCAGGGGCTATATGATTCTTGTCTTGACCTTAAGAAAGCACCTAATCCGGGAAGCCACCAAAGGGTTGAAGAAGGAGGGACACAATCAGATGTGCATTTCCAAAAGAAATAAGTGGATGTGGCAGGGACCCAGCTGGGAGACAACGTGGCTTTGCTTAGAGGCGAAGTGGGGCTGATGGAGGGATCCCGCAGAAAAAACCAAGGGGACCTTAGGGAGATGCTGGAGAAAAGGCCAAGGTGACAGTCAAGCTTCTGGCTCGCATACCTGAGCGGGTGGAGGTGAGGACAGTAGGAGAGGAACAGGTCAGTGAGGGTGGGTGGGTAGGACCAAGACATTAGTTCTAGAAAGGTTAAGCTGAATGCGTCTTTAAGACACCCAAGAGGAGATGTCAAGTAGTTTGTTGGATGAGTCTGGAGTTCTGAGGAGAGACCTGAGCTGGAGGGAGAATCTGTGAGCAGCAGGTGCACCTGTGGGGATAGGGAGAAAAGCAAAAGGCTGGTGCGGCCATCTCCACATCTAATGGGGGAGGAGGAAGCGTCTCCCGAGAGGAGTGAGGGGAGGAGCAGACAGAGAGGCCAGGGAACCCAGAGGGAGCTGGGTCATGGAGGAGGAAGGGCCTCCGTGGCCAGTGAAGGTTGCTGAAGGAGTCAGCACAGGAGGCCATGGGGGGCTTTGCCAAGCTGCTCGGGGAGCCCAGGGTCAGAAGCCAGGGGGAGTGAGGGGAGGGGAGGAAACAGAGGCAGTGTTTAAGCAAGTCCTTGGGACAGGCGGAAAAGGGCTTTATCAAGAGAAGGCTACGATATCACTGAAGGGTTGCCTTATGTTGTCTGTTTCTGTTTTCTTTTTGAGTCAGAGTCTCATTCTGCTGTCTAGGCCAGAGTGCAGTGGCATGAGCACGCCTCACTGCTGCCTCGACCTCCTGGGCTCACGCGATTCTCTTGCCTCAGCCTCCTGAATAGCTGGGACTACAGATGTACACCACCACGCCTGGCTTTTCTTGTTTTTTAATTTTTTATAGAGACAAGGTCTCACTATGCTGCCCAGGCTGGTCTTAAACTCCTGGGTTCAAGCGATCCTCCTGGCTCGGCCTCCCAAATTGCGGGGATGCCAGGCGTGAGCCACTACACCTAGCCTGGTTTTTGTTTTCAGTGGAGTGACTTGACAACACTATATGTAAAAGCTGGTGGAAGCCAGGGATTTTGGGCGGGGACTGGGGGGAGCTATATTCCATAAGAGACCCTTGGACTGCCCATTTGAGAGAAGAGGGAGGGAGGGTAGGGCAGGGCGGCGGCAGGCAGGTTTTATATTTGGTTTCTCCTGTCCTCGGAGGGAGTTTCCATCTTGGTGGCTTCTGTTTCCCCTGTAAAGCAGGAGGCAAAATCATCTGGGTTGAGTGCCCTGGGAGAGAGAGCCTGGGGGGAGTGGAAGCAGTTTCGCTGTAAGTGGAGCATGGGTGAGCCAGGTGACAGGAGAAATGGGGCAGGGCTGTCCCGCACCGCCAGGGGCCACCACCCCTGCACAGGAGGTCTCTGGTTTTAAAGTGGAAACGTTACCTTCTTTGCAAAAGCAATCCAGGCCCACTTATGGAAAAGCCCTGGGCCCAGACTGGTTTTGGAATCCAAGCTTTGGTTTTTGGTTTTATTTTAGAAAGATAATCTGGTGCATATGCTACTTAATTCCATACCATCCCCAGCGGGGTCTGGGGCAGGACCCTGTAATCAAACACATTAGTATTTCTGTAGCAGAATATGAATATTCACACCCAGTGAATCAATCAAGACTAAAAATAGCCTCACATCTGTGCAGGTCATTTTGCCTTCAGTGAGTTCTTGGGGAAACAAAGCCAAATAAAACCAACTTTTTTCAGGGCTATCTGAATTTGGGTATTGTGAGTAAGAAGACAGGGGCCTGTACTGTGCCTTGTGGAAACTGGAGATTAAAGAAAAAGAGAAGAAAACCATCACAGTCCCCTGGGGAAAGGCCTCTGTTGACTCTCCTCTCTTGGGTGAGTTTAAAAGTCATCCTTCCAGTAGGTTCTGGAGATGGACAGAGGGATGACCTATGCCTTCCATGTGTCACAGTCTGCTGGAGCCTAGGCACTTCAGGCTAGAAAACAGGACAGAGTGGGAGGGCTCTGGTCATTTGGTGAGCTCTAACTAAGAAGAAGGATGAGATTTTGTAAGAGAAGACAGGCTAGAATGAACACAGTTCTGGCCATGTCCCTTGCATATTGGCATACTTTTGATGGTTCTCAGCTGTCTTCTAGAAAAATGTCTTTCCATTTTTCTGTGTCCTGAACACTCTAAAATGCAGTTAACTTGCTACTCTTCAAAAGCACCTTGGTTTTTTCCTACCTCTGGCCTTTGCCCAGGCTGTTCCCACTGCCTGAAATTC